GTGTCCGGCAGGAATAGGAAGTGATTGTGCCCCTGTACTCAGCACTGGTGAGGACACAGCTTGAGTACGGGGTTCACTTTCAGGAGCCACAGTATAAGAAGGACACTGAGGGGCTGGAGCAGGTCCAGAGAAGGGCAATGAAGCTGGTGAGGGGTCTGGGAAATGTCTCATGAGGAGCAGCTAAGGGGCCTGGGGTTGTTTAGTCTGGAGAAGAGAAGGCTGAGGGGAGACCTTATGGCTCTCTACAACTCCCTGAAAGGAGGTTGTAGTGAGGTGGCTGTTGGTCTCTTCTCCCACATAACCAGTGACAGGAGAAGAGGGAATGGGCTGAAGTTGCACCCGGGGAGGTTTAGATTGGACATGAAGGAAGAATCTCTTCACTGAAAAAGTGTGGAGGCATTGGAGCAGGCTGCCCAGGGAGGTGGTGGAGTCCCCATCCCTAAAGGTGTTAAAAAAAAAAAATGTATGGATGTGGCACTTCAGGACATGGCTTAATGGTAATGGTAGTGTTGGGTTGATGGTTGGACTTCATGATGTTGGAGGTCTTTTCCAACCTTAATGATTCTGTGATCTTCCTGCAGGCTGTTGAGCACTGCCGGCGTCACCTATGGAACTAGGAGCCTCCTCCTCAGCCAGCTGGGCTTGCCCTGCCATGTTGGTTCAGGATCCTGACCCCTCTCCACGGACAGCAATGGCAGGAGCTCACTGGCCTCACCACCCCGGCAGGGGCTGTGGGGCTCTCTACTCACCTCTGCTGCTTCCTTCTCCACCCGTGCGGCTTGGATTTCCAAATCAGGTTAAGGGAATCATTAAGATTTTTGGGACTTGGGGATTCAGCCTCCCTGTCTCTCAGGCTGACTGCAAAAATCCTGCCATCCCCATCCCCATTTCATGCCCATCCCTGCCCCCCCCAATAACTTCTCGTGAAGCCCAGACCCTGCAGTGTGGATCCATCCCCATGGGTGGGCTGGGATGGTTTCTGCTGCCCAAACGCCAGCCACCTGGTCCTGGCCACCAGCAGGCTCACACCTGAGGTCTTGTTGGCTTTTGTCAAGCCCAGCCCTTTGCTGGTCCCTCTACAAGTTGAGGTGTCTTTTTAGTTTCTTTTTTTTTTTTTTTGCCTGATCACCAGTTAAAGAAAACAAGTGGATTAAATGTACCTGCAATGTCCTGCTTTGCATGACATTTGCAGCACACCAAATTCGTGTCCAGCCAATTGCTGGAGAGGTGTGTATATATATTTTAACAAAACAATGGGGGGCAAAGATTCCCTTTCAGACACACATCCCCACTGGGGGTGGGGGTCCTGTGCTGACCCAGCTGTGGTAGTGAGGGGGGTGCGGGCTCCCCCCCCCCTGCCACGGGATGGGGGGGATGCCTACAGCACCCATTGCTGAGTGGGCATGGGAGCATCTCACCACAAATAAACTCTTCCCGTGAGCCCAGCTGGTTGTCTCCCTCCTCATTCTCTCCAGGGGTTGGTTGTGTGGCAAGAGGGGGCAAACCTGGGGAAGGCTTAATGCTTCCCCTCCAAATCCAGGCTGAAAAATCTGTGGCAGCATCTTGTGAAGGTGGTGTATTGAGGGGTGAATTAAGGGGAAAAGGGGTTTTCTCTTCAAAAGGAGGTTGGGGTGTGTTGGATCTGGGGAGGAAGGATGACAGACAGGTTACCCAAAGCCATAGACAGTGTATTTCTGAGTCCCGTAACAGCCCGTGCCCGAAACTCCCCACAAGGTTACGAGTCGAAACAAACCCCCCGGACGAACAAACCCGAAAGCAAGAGAGAAGGGGAAAGAACAGGGCAAGAAAAGCCACGCACGAGCACTCCACATCCAGAAGCCCCAGTCACTGTCAGTCTCTTCTTTGATGTCACATGTTTTGGTAAAGCCAGCAAAATGATGAAATGTCTTCCATTTGGGTCTTTGTTTTTTTTGGGTCTTTCCTTGTTGGAAAGATGATGTTAATGCCAAAGGGACTCAGCCTCTCCCCGTGCTGCCCCAGCCCTCCCCGTGCCCATGGTTGAGGTGTGATAGCTGCTTGTCCCTAGCCTGAGCTTGGGGATGTTGTGGTGGCACACCATCCGCACCTTTGCTGCACCTTCACCTCTTTCCAGCCTGGACTCATTGGATTCGTTTAGTGTTTATTTTATTTTATTTTATTTT